GTTTAATCACCACAGACCAGAGCCATCCTGTGGCCCACTGGTTCCAATGACTTCTGCTGGGGCGCAGGTATGTTCTGCCAAAGTGCAGGACCAATAGATATAAATGTTCTTTTGTCCCTGCTGCTCTTTCCCTGTTAAACAAGTGACCAATCTTGTCTTTTCTCTGTTGTTTGTTGTTGTTGTTGCCTGTGTGATTGTGGCAGTGACTGTCTCATTGCTGGCTGCACAAACACTTCCCCACGGAGATATTAAAGATTTTTGAACCTTGAACCTAATGATGAAACGTAAAGAAAATTAAAATAGGAAAAAATTTAGCAACATAGATAAAATTTTAAAATAGGGAATAAAATAATACAAGTGAATTGTCTAAACTACACTTACAAAAATCCTGGCCTAAGATGCAGGTTTACATGTAAGTTTTCCACATTTCCAGCTGCTCTCAGCTTCTCATGTCGACTGTTCCAGTGACTTGAAGCATAAAAACTACAAACTGTGTCACCACAGGTTTTAATTGTGCACGTTGGAACAGCCAGTAGGTTAATGCCGATGACCTGCGAGGCTGTCCTGGCTCGTACACTAGAAGCATGTGAGACGTTGATGTCCGCTCCAGATGCTGAAGTAGCTTAGAAACAAGTAAAAGTATTTCAAAATCAATACAGAAACTGACCAAGCAGCTAATGTCTGTGAAAGATGTTTTCTTCTTCCGGTTCTAGTAGCCCTTGAGTGGTTCTGAATCTGATTAGTAGCATTTTGGGTAGCCCAGATAGCAGGACATCCCATAACAGCTGCCAGCCTGCTGGTGTCCCTCACAGAGACATGGTCGCTCTCCGCTGGTGTTTTCAAAGTGATGAAAGGCACATTTTGAGACAAGCCCTACATGATCCTTAAAGTTCTGATCTCAAAGACTAAACCAAGGTAGATCCAAAGGAATGTAATTTTACCATTTCTCTGAGTTGTTTAACCTGTGATTAAGTTTTGTCCTGGTTGAGCTGAGTTCATTCAGACATTGACATCCAAAGTACCCGTATCGAGGGCTCAGCTCGTCGTGACATTACAAAGGGGTTTCTAAGATGTTTCCCTAAAAGTGGGGAACACCTACAGTAGGTTATGTCAAAGGTACAATGATGTTATTTTATTTTTAGGTTTTGCTTCTGTCTGTCCCACTAAACACTTGGTAAATGTTTCATTAATCACAGTTGGTATTCGATCGCTGCTGTCTCCACAGCTCAGGAATGGTCCGGATGGGTCATCTCCACCACTGGGGCAGCGCATCTGTGGTTCCAGTCCTCCGTCCCCCCTCCAGACTACTGACAACCATCTTTTTATTCACTTTGTAACTGATGCCAGGGATGAGGCCAGTGGCTTTAAGCTGACATTTGAAGCCCACAGTCAGGGTACATTCACCACTCTCTCTTTGTTTTTGTTTCTCTGTCATGGCAGAAGCTATAAATGATTGTGTCAGTGTGCCAGAGTTACACCCATGTTATCATCAGTGTTATTGGTGGTTAGGGAAGGTGTTGAATAGGAAAGCCTGGCTGTTAGAAAATTATTCCGTTTTTTACCGTTACTGTTGTATTATAACGCAACCAACCAAACATAAAAGCGTAAGTCAAAACAGTCACAACATACAGACTTTAGTAGTTCAGTAGTTTTTACATCATGTTTTGCTTTAAGTAGGAGTTTAAAATTAAGCCTGAATAATTTTGCATTGTAAGTGATAGGTGTACTGGCTGCCATGTCCAGCTGTAGCTACCAGACAGAATATCGTCCAGTTATTGACTGAATCAGCATGAATGAACACTTGAACTGTTTCATGATGAAAGAGGGTTTAGTGTTAACAGCTACATATAATCTGTTCATTGGCCGACTAAATGGTGCATGTTCGGTATCTGGATGCCTTTATTTTTTTTGGCCTTTGTGCCTTTATTGGATAGTGTAGTCAGAGAGAGACAGGAAAGTTGGGAAAAGAATGGGGGGAGGACATGTGGGAAAGGGTCATGGGCGGGATTTGAACTCATGACCTCCACATTGGGACTGTAGCCCTACACATATGACACCAGCTCAACCAGGTGAGCCATAGCGGCGCCCCCGGTGTCTGGATGCCCTTAATGCAAATGTTTTAGCATATGTCTGTTGCCACGGGTTGGATGGAAACTGTGAATAGAGAGGGGGAGTTTACTTGAGTTATTAGGTTGTGCAGATTGAAGCTTTGTGAAGCTCAGTCATTAGTGATGACAGTCGTTGTTGGTGACGTACAGAATCTCAACCATCAACAATAAATGACTTTCCAAGGCCACATTATTCTAAAGGTAAAGTTGGTTCCTGCCTTCTGTAATGAGGCATCGTGGAATGAACGGTGAACAGCACCAGTCAAAGTTTTGACACGGCTTCTCTTTCATTGGTTTTTATTTATTTTAATTATTGTCTACATTGTAGATTAATACTGAAGACATCAAAACTATGAAAGAACACTTTTGGGATTATGTAGTAAACAAGAAAGTGTTAAAGAAATCAGAATACGTTTTATATTTTAGACTCTTCAAAGTCGCCCCTTTTGCTTTGATGACAGCTTTGCACACTCTCGACATTCTCTCAGTCAGCTTCATGAGCTCGTCTCCTGGATGGTCTCCAACACTTTTGAAGGACTTCCCAGAGGTGATGAGGCCCTGCTGGCTGCTTTTCCTTCACTCTGTGGTCCAGCTCATCCCAAACCATCTCTGTTGGGTTTAGGTGGGCTGATTGTGGAGGCCAGGTCATCTGAGCAGCCCTCACAGAGCCTGGAGGTGTGTTGGGCTCATTGTCTGGTTGGGAAACAAATGATGGTCCCAGTAAACCAGATGGGATGGCATGGCGCTGCAGAATGCTGTGGTAGTCATGCTGGTTAAGGAGCGTTGACTTGTGGATAAATCACCAACAGTGTGAGCAGCAAAGCCCCCCACACCATCACAGCTCCTCCTCCAGGCTTCACGGTGGAACCACACATGCAGAAACTATCGCTCACCTTCTCTGGTCTCACAAAGACACGGTGGCTGGAACCAAAGATCTCAGATTTGGACTCATCAGACCAAAGTCCAGACTTCCACTGGTCTAATGTCCGTTCCTTGTGTTTCTTGGCCCAAACAGTTCTCTTCTTCTTCTCCTTGTTCATCCTCGGTAGTGGCTTCTCTGCAGCAGTTCCACCATGAAGGTCTGATTCACGCAGCCTCCTCTGAACAGCTGATGTTGAGATTCGTCTGCTACTTGAACTCTTAAGAGCTTATGTGGGCTCTAATCTGAGATGCTGTTAATTTGGAGTTTCTGAGGCTGGTGACTCTAATGAACTGATGCTCTGCAGCAGAACTAACTCCTGGGCTTCCTGGTTCATCAGAGCCAGGTTCTTCAGCATGTTTGATGGTTTTTGTGACTACACTTGAGGATACATTCAAAGTTCTTTGACCTTCACGTCTTAAAGTGATGATGGACTGTGGTTTCTCTTCACTGAGTTGAGCTTCCTGCCTGACTGTGGACTACAACAGCAGTCAAACAGGGCTGTCCACTGTGGACTAACTCCACCGCTGCACAGCACCACTGATGGTCTCAGACACATTAAGAAACACGTAATTCCACACATTGACTCTTAACAAGGCCTGTTGCTGTTAATTTAGAACCATCCAGGACACGAGCTCGTGCAGCTGACTGAGAGAACGCCAAGAGTGAGAAAGCTTCAGGGATGAATGTATCAGGGTTGGGGTCAAGTTAGCAGGACAAGACTAAAGCTAAGGTCTGATAACAAGTGATTCTTTCTGTGTTTCCACAGCATGTGGAGGCTTCATTGAGTTGAGTGACAATGATCCTCCAGGATACATCACATCACCTAATTACCCTCAGAACTACCCCCAGAACATTGACTGTGTCTGGGTGATCACTGTGCCCAATGGAGAAGCTGTCCAACTGGACTTTGAGGATGACTTTTACATTGAGTCCTCAGCCAGGTACAGCTGCCACTTGCTCTTCAGGTCCTTGTTTGGTTATGTTGACGTTATATTTACATTACTGCTGAGATTTAGTGCGTTTGAGTGCTATACTTGACATCATGATTTATTGATAAACGCAATGAAAATAATTTACACTTTCATTCTGATATAAGTTCAGTCTGTGTGCTCACAAAATAAAGATGTAGGTTAAGAATGTGATAACTTTACTGTTGGTGGGATCGTGACTGTCAGGAGACCTGAACAGAGGCCATAGTCTCAAAGAATCCTGCCCCTACCCACTTAGGAAATCTTTTGTTGAGAAATCTGAAGGAAGTAAACTTGTGCATCAATGATATGAAAGATTTTTCACATTCTGACGTCTTCTAGCAATGCTCTGCGGATCAGGACCATAACAAGACCTGTTTCCTGTTTTGTTCATGTACCTCTCAGCTGTGCACACGACTACTTGGAGCTGCGTGATGGCACAACTTCCAACTCTGACCTAATTTCCCAGCTCTGTGGCAACACCCGACCATCCACCCAGCGTTCAACAGGTTTCTCCATGCGGCTCAGGTTTCGTACCGACAACAGCGTCACACACAAAGGCTTCAAGGCAAAGTACTCAATAGGTGAGCAAAGCAGTCATCACACACAGTTTAAGGCACTTTTCTCATGTCAGGTTTTGGGTGTGTCAAGGACAAATGTAATTTGATGACAGATTTCCTGGTTCTACTTATATTAACAGAGATGCAACAAGACTTTTAGTATTTATGAGGATTTTATTTTTATTTAAAAAGAAGCCAGACAAATGTGCCTATCTGCAATTCTTCACAGCAACATGTGGAGGTACCTACATAGGCCAGAGCGGTTCCATACACAGTCCTGGTTTCCCAGGATCCAACTACCCTGATAGCACCAGCTGTGAGTGGTACCTGGAGGGTCCCACAGGACACTACCTCACTCTGAGTTATGAGAGCTTCAACCTCCAGGCCAGCCCATCATGCTCTGCTGACTACGTGGAGATCAGAGAGTACAATGCCTCAGGTGAGAGAAAACAGAGAAGTGATTCTCTACCAAACTATATAATTCAGCCATTTTGAAAAACATCCATACATGTAGTCAGTAGGAGTCACCAAGAAAACAGCCGTGGGCTCTTTGGATCGAAGACACACAGCGTCCAGCCTTTGTGTCAGAGTGACATTCAGGACAGAATCACATCATTTCTTCAGCCTTTTCAAAATGGCAGAGAATGAAAACAGCCTCATAGTGTTGAGTCAGGAACTAGAATCCTCTCTACATGTCCTGAAGTCTGACACAGACTTATTTTGGATTTGAGCCACAGCAGTAACCCAGAGCTGGTTCAGTCCCTGTGCTGGTCTGCAGCCTTCTAGAACTCCTCTTTAGTTCTGAAAGAGAAGTCTCACAGATACACACTCTTTATGTTCAGTAGTGAGACATTGGGATGACTAAGAAATTGTTAATTGTTCTGTTTGTGAAGGGAACCTACTGATCCGACACTGCGGCACTGACCTTCCACTTTCCATGGACACATCTGACAGTTTCGCCTACGTCAGGTTTGTCAGTGACGGCAGCGTGACTGCAGCTGGATTCAAGCTGCTGTTTGAAGCCAGCGTTGAAGGTACTGTGATTTTTAGAACATTAGTGGACAGGTTTGTTCACTGCATGATCCCAAACTACAATGTATTCATACATAAAGTGCACATGTCAGGAACTCACAGGTCAGAACAGGCAGGTTTATTGCCGGTCAGGATTCGGTACACAGGTCAGTCAGGTAGAGGTATCCAAACAACGAGAGGCAAGGTCGTAAACAAAGCAGACTATGAAGAACGCTGGTACGAAGACTGAACTGGCAACGAGACACACAAGGTAATGAGAGGAGATGGGAAACAGGTGAGGGAAGGCCATCAGGGACCCGGTGTGACGAGACAGGTGCAGGAAGTAAATGTAGGACAGAGACAACCGGTTAGTGCTTTCAAAATAAAACAGGAAAGACAAGACATAGAATGTGCAGACATAAGACAGAAACTTGACGGACATGACAACATGCAAGTACTGTGATGGTGATAATAGAGCTTAGACTACAGCTCCAGTCAAGATCTATTATGAACTTATCCACAGTGTTCATCAAAGTCCTCCACTGTCATCGTTCTCGTCCTGTCACTGTTGGGTTAGGGTTCAGGCTCAGTTCAGGGTTTAGGCTCAGTTTGTCAGGGATTAGTTAAGGCTGCCTGACCCAAATGCAGAACAACACTCAGGAGACGTGCAGTTAAGAAAATGAAGTTTATTGCAAAAACTGAAAGAGCAGGGATGAGTTTGAAAACAAGGCGGAGGTGTTAGCGGTTGTGAGCAGATAGTCCAGGTAGCCATGGAGAAGATTTGGGTTTGGTGCAGGTTGGTTGTGGAGATGCACAAACGTGGAGCAGATACACAGGGAGAGTCTTTGGTGAAGGAGGTAGACAGTCACTCGGGAACTCAGAACAAACTCGGGAGGAAGGCTTGAAGTTACCATGCTGGTTAGCACCCAGGCTCCGACTGACTCTTATACACGGAGTGACAAGCCAGATGAGGTGCAGGTGTGTAGACAGCACACCTGCAGGGAATAAGCCACAGATGAGTAGAGTTCCTGTAGGACGCCCTCTGGTGGACGCCTAGAGGAGAACATAAACACAAAAACCCCATTCCCTGACACGGTTGGCCTCAGCCTGTCCAGCTCGCACCAGCTACAGTCTTCAGGACATTTGTTCAACATACTATTTATCAGTGTTGTAGGGATGAGTTTTTAGTGATTATTGGAACAGTATTAGCACTGGAATCAGGATGAGCATTCATGGTACCGCTGTACTTTATGTCTCTGTACTCACACTTAACCAAGCTAAAACATCCTTAATCTGGTGCTGATGTGTGTCTGAGTTTCATTTTATGTGGCTGTCTCTCTCCTCTGCTCTTGTCTGTGTCGTGGACGTACAAAGAACACCAGTTCTGAGTGTGATTGATCAGCGGGAATCAGCCCTCTCTGCAAAGGAAGCTAACCAATGCTAAATAACCTGGGCTGTCACCAACATGGAGAATATTTATTGATGAATTTGACCTTTACATCCTGTAGATAGGCTGTAAGGTCATATACGTCTGAATCATTTGAAATTAAGACACATTGCACAGAAGTGTCCTCACGTCTCTGCCTTTACATTTGTAAATGGTAGGTGGTCTTTTATCTCGCCTTTCTACCTCAGTGCTACTCAAAGAGCTTCACGATGTTTTCTCACTCACCCGTTCACACACATTCATACACCAACAGCCACAGAGCCTGAGCTTGTGTTTACCGCCAGGAGGAAACTTGTTTATGTCACACTGGTTTCAACAAGACGTTTTTCAGACAGTCTACATGCAGAATGACAAAGTTATTCCTCCTTCTCTTTTTCCTCTCTTCCTCTCGTTTCCAAATCTCTTTGAAGACTTAGAGAAACCTGGGTGAGCTACAGGTTTCCTTAATGTGTGAATGCTCTTTTCTTCTCCGTCCGCCTCGTTGGGGAAAATGTTCACTTGAAGACAAGAAGTGAAAACTTGTTTTCCTGGAATGTGAGCCTGAGGTCACTGGTTGTTTTAGCGACAGCCATGTTATTGCTGTGATATTGTTGAGGCCTCAAGTATCCTCCTAATAAAAGAGACGGCTGGGTACTGACCTACAGTGAGTGAAGCTTTACTGTCTGGTTGTCCAGTGAGGCTTGTTCGTGAACATTGTTGTAAAACAAATGTTTTGTTTTGTTTCCAAAATGTTGTTTCTCATGTTGAGTTTCTCTGTTTTTCTGATCTCCTGGAAGCCTGTGGAGGTGAGCTGAATGCTCCCTCAGGAACCATCTCCTCTCCCAACTACCCGAACCTGTACCCACACAGCCGGGTGTGTCGCTGGGAGCTGGTGGTGGCAGCAGGCCGCAGGGTTACGCTCACCATAGATGACCTGCGACTAGAAGACTCTGATGCTTCCTGTGCATATGACTACGTTGATGTGAGTCTTTATGTGTCATCATATTATCTTTTAACATTTTGCTCACTAATTGAAATGTTCATGTATAGCGCCAGAAGAATCTGCAGCAGATGTCTAGAAACACTGCAAATAGTCTTAAAAGTAAGACTGTCAGCATAGTTAGACCCGGTGAGTGCTCTGAGTGAGTTATCCCACTGGCTGTCTTAAAGTCATCACAGAAGTATTTAAGTCTCTGTTTGAAATAAATAAGATGAGTGTTGTGGTAAATGACCTGCATCTGCAAAGCCCCTTCTTAGCCTTGGCCAGGTTTAACCCATTCACACTCACTCACACACTGATGGTGGCAGAGCTGCTAGGTGCTCGCCTGCCATCAGGAACAACTTGGGCTTCAGCGTCTTGCCCAAGGACATATAAGCATGGGAGGGGCTGGGGATTGAACCGCCAACCTTACAATTAGTGGACAGCCCCTTGTACCGTCCATGCAGACAGCATAGTGGGGAAAAGGTGGCGACAGTGACCTGACCGTGGAATGACTGTCGGTGCCAGATGTGCTGGTCTGGGTATTTTTGTAACTGCTCAGAATGTGTACTCAAAAGCAGAAGTATTCAGGTACTTGCAGTTGGAACTGCTGCTGAAGAGAGGCGACACCTGTCAGAGCTGACAGAAAGGCTTTGTGAAACTAGATAACCACACTTACTTTGGTGAACAGAAAAGCATCTCAGAATGTGGCACCAACAGCAGAAGACTATGTTGGGTTCCTTTCCTGTCAAGAACACAGATCTAACGCTGCAGTGGCCACAGGCTCGCCCAGACTTCACAGGTACAGACAGAGAAAATGTGGCCTGGTCTGATGAATCTCACTTTCTGCTGAGGCAGCAGGTGGGGTCGACAGCTTGAATCCATGGACCCAACCTGGAAGGGTTGAGGCTCTGCTAAGTATTAAAATGTTGTTAGGAGCTCTGTGAGTGGGTTAGTGATGGATGAAATGGATCAACAGTCTACTTCAAGACAGTCTGCTAAGTTTAGCCTATTCAAGTCCAACCATACTATGAGCAGAATTCCTCTCTTCCAGGTGCGAAATGGGCTGGCAGCTGATGCCCCTCGTCTGCACAAATTTTGTGGTTCAGTACCAGCAGGTACTCAGGTGCGCTCCTCTGGCAACACCATGGCTATCGTGTTCCACACAGACGCTGCTGTGTCCAGTGGTGGCTTCATGGCTTCGTACTCCTCCGACGAGCCTGCAGGTTAGACGCTCCCTCAGCTGTGACCTACAGTTCAGTGTTTGTACAACCATCACATCCATGTGGTAAGTTCTTACCGCCCTGACACCAGGAGGACCTTGTGTCGGCACCAGACGTGGTACTGGTATTAAAACACAACTCGCTGCCGTTATTCAAAGCTTTCAGAGCAGGAACCAGTCAATGAAGAGGCCACCGAGTCCTCGTTAAATGGGTTGGGCTTAGCTGAGAGTTTTTAGAACACGTTCAATGACATCAGTGACTCATTGTTATAGGCAGAATTTTACTTTTTTGAGTTTTGATTAGGCAAAAGTACAAATGGTAATTTTTGCCAGAGCTTTTAAAATGTGACTGTGGGTTAGGGTCACGAGGGCAACCACGAACCGTGTTGTGTGTCAAAGTTCCTCTACAGGTGTTATCCTTAGGGTTGATTTTGGCCTCAAAGCTGTGAAGATATTTAATTATATCTGATCATAGGCAGGGAGATAAAAGGCTGTAATCATATCATTCTGCCAAGTACGTTTCATGTTGTTTGTGCAGATTTTTCCTCAGGCAGTTTCAGATTTCACCACATGTGGGGCTTGGCTCAGCACATGGACCAGCTATGGAGGAGTCTGTAGTGACGATGTTAGCAGCTGGGTTTCAGTGTTACGCCTGATAATAAACTGTCCTAACTTAGAAGCTGAGGAGAGACGAGCATAGCTTTATTTGAGTTTTCATTCAATCAGTGATGGCTTTAGCATGTTCTGAAACAGGAAGTATCGCCAGAAGCTCTATTGTGATTGAGCTCTGAGCAGATCAAGTGGGCCTAATGTTCTGGAAACACTGTCTTAGCTCTTACAACTTAGAAAAAACACATTTAATATAGTCCATTAATGCAGCGAGTTGGTCCTAGACCTTCACTGGGCAGATAATGCCTATTCCCTGCTGAAGGTCTGGGACTGAAACCCTGCATGAAGACTTTTAGAAGGAATCTGTTTTCATTGACACTGCATAGTGCATGGTGCTCATGGGTCAGACTGCTCCCATCTTTAAACTCCACCTTCATTCTGATTCCAACTACACACCTGTCAAAGCACTTAAAAACGCCTTTCTTAGTAGATCCTGCTATCGTAGGCGTGTGGAAGCTTTTGCCATGATGACACATAAAACTAAAATCGTCACTGGCTGCAGATTTCTTATTTGGTTAAGTGGACATTTTTTACAACACTTCCCCGTGAACTTCCCATCAGTAGCACAGTTTAAATGGGAGGGTGAAGTTGGGCATTTTAAAATGGGATCCATGGGGACTGAGTCTCGTTGGGAGCCAGCACCAAGTGGCCATCTGAGGAACTGCGGATGGTGTCAATCCTGCGTTAGCCTGCTTAAGTCATATTTTGTTCCCAAAGGATGGAAAAATCACAGTGAATATGAGTTTAGAAGCCTATAAGCTTTATAAGCTTACAGTGTCAATTTAGTCTCATACAACAACCTGGCAGGTCATTGGATGCTCTGTCTGCAGTCTAATACAACAAGGCTGCAATAAGGGCTTCGTGTTTGGTGTTGCTTGATTCCTTATTACCAGGGTATTGATTCAGATATATTTAGGGTGTAGTTTGCTGTCAAATGTTCTGATGTCATCATGAAAGGTGTCTGTAGTTTTGCTCCATTAGTGCTGTGTGTTTAAAGGGTGAGAACATGTCTGTGCTGTCTGTTGTTAGTGTGTGGTGGAGTCCTGAACAACCCGGCTGGAGAGAACTTTACTTCCCCTGGTTACCTGGTCTCCAACTACAGCAGCAACCTCAACTGTGAGTGGCTGATTCAGAATGCACAGCACATCAACTCCTCTATCGTGGTGCTGATAGAAGACTTGCACCTTCAGCACCATCAGACCTGCAAGGCCGACTTCCTCCAGTTCCGCTTAGGTGAGTTTCCCACAGACACCACTGACTTGAGGATGGGCTGAACAGACAGGGCTTCAGAGTGTGACTAGATGATCTGGGGTCATGTGTTTCAGATGTGGGGAGTGGACTACACAAAGCAGTGCAGTTTTCTAACACTGTGTAATCTGCAATGTTCCTCATACGTTGTAGAGAGGCTGTTGGCGTTTGGGTTTATTTCTGGCTCACCTTGTCACTTGTTGCCCACTTTGATACATTGCAGACTTCATTTGAAGTGGATACGACTTGTTTCTCCATCAGGTTGCACTCAGTAACACATGATGACAGTGAAAACGTGTTTCAGACATTTTTGCAAATTTATCAAAAATCTAAACTGAAATCTGTAATTTACGGAAGTGTTCAGACCTGTTTGGCAGCAGTTACAGGATTAGGCATTCTCTGGTAAGGACACCTGGATCTGGGCCTTTTATCTGCTTCTTTCTGTCACATCATCTGAAGCTCAGTAGACGGGAAGCTTCTGTCACTTTCCGTCTTCAGGTCTCTCCACAGACAGACAGGGTTTCACGTCTGGCCTGCTGGGCCACTCAAGGATAGCTGGACTTGTCCACAGGTCACTTGATGTTTGCTTCAGGTCATTGTCATGGTGACAGATGGACTGATGTGTCAGATCTTCTGGAGCAAGGCTTTCTCAAGGACTTGTCTGTCTTTGGCTGTATTCATCCTTCTGCCACTGAGACGTGTCCCCCATGGCACGATGCTGCTACCGCCATGCTTCAGCCAGGCCGTGAGCAGTGGCCGCTGTTTGCCAGACATAGAGCTCAGACATCTGCCCAAGTTCAGCTACTGTCTCATCCTTTGCTCTTTCAACCTGCTTGACCACATTCTTAGAGACAGCTGCAGGGACCAGCTCACCTGTCCACAGTCACCTTGTGCTCCAGCAAAGCTCAGCTCATTCCACCACACTCTGCCAGACCATGAACTATGCAACCCTGTGTCTCTGCTGATCCCCGACCTGTCTCCAAGCTGCTGCTGGCTCTGATCCGGTCCAGCCTGCATCCCCGAGCCATCCTGCCCCTTTAGTTTAGTCCCCAGTTCCATGACTATCTATAAGTTTGTTCCTCTGAGGATTCCTTGTGTTTGCTGTCTGTTCTTAGTTTGAGTTTCTCACCGTTTTTGTAGTTTCGTCCTCTTTTTGAATGAAGCCGGCTTGAACCTGTTCTGTTTTCCCTTCAGTTACGTATTGGTTTGGGTGGAGTCTGTCGTGTAATAAATCCCCTTTGAACACTTGGCCTGCCTGTCTCCTGCTCCTGTGTTTGCACATGGGTGACCAAGTTCAACACGATTGTTGTCACTGTCATGGATGAGGAGGACATCAGTGCTGCTCTTCCTCACAGGGATGGAGAAGGAGAGAAGGCTCTTCACCTCAGACAACCTCAGCTGGATGTTCATGTTCTCTGTAGATCTTAGATCACATCAGGCCAGATGTTCCCAGTCGTGGCTGGAAGGAGAAGACACCAACAGAGAGAAAGATCTACAAGGTTCTTTCATTCCAACTGCTGGAACATTACATATGAGTGAACACAGCAGGATGTGACTGTAGACAACAGGAAGTGATGTTTTAATGTGAAGGAAATGTTGGTTTCCCTGGATGAGGCCAAAGAACATTTTACTGCCTCAGAAGGCCATAAGGTTGAGTGTTTTCATTCTAATGTATCATGATGAGAGCAACAGAAAACAAGGAAAAGAAGCAGCCTTCTGATGACATGAGCTCCTCAGTCATCTGATAAACACTGTGGGACAGAACCAGTCTGCTGGACTGGTTGACATTAAACACCAGTAACTGGCTGGGCTCTGAGGTCCAGTGTGATGCTCATGTCATGGTGACCAGACCTCAGCAGCTTCACTGCTTCTGGAGGAGAAGGAATCATTTCAGCAGATGTTTGTCTCAGTGAGATGAGCAGAAGCTGTTAAACCAGTCTGATACTGAGCCAGAGAACATGAACTCACAGAACTGAGCTGAGCTTCATAGAACTGACGGAACAGATTCATCAGTAACAGGGTTCTGTGGAGGAACGTTGGCTTAGTTTAGTTTCTGTGGATCATTAACAAAGCGAGACGGCAGCAGTTCACAGCCTGTAATCACGTTATCGATCCGTTCTGATTGATCAGCTGTGACCTACAGAGAACTAGTTACAGACAACAGGAAGCTCATTGATAACGCTGACCAACCTGATGTAGCATCAGCGTTAACTAGTCAAGAAATGTAAGAAATGTATGTTTACAGAACAGCTTTAAACATGATCCTGTTTCTCCATCAGAGGCTCCAGTCTGATGGTAACCTACAGCAGCTTCAGCTGCAGGAACGCAGGGCACTGCTGTAGATGGAACATCGTCCAGATAATTTAACTCAGAGTTCAGCTCCACTTCTGGAGACCAGCCTTGTCACACAGCAGCCGGTAACTGTGGGCGGCCAGAGCGTCCTCGGCTCTCAGTCTGACCAATCACTGCTCTCCGGCTCCGCCCTCTTTCAGCCTTATTTTCGTCTCTGGCTCTCTAAGGGTTGGCGATACTGCAAACTGTTGCTTATCTTCATCTCCAACCACAGAGAGGCTGGAGGTCCTTTACAGTCATTTCAGCAGGACTCCCTGTGATACCCATAGCTCTTGGGGAATCGATGTGAAATTACAAAATAATTAACTATAACCCATCTGCATGTCGCCTAAATACAGAATACTGATGTTCCTTTGACAGATAACACAAATGGTTGTCCAGCCAGGTTCATGTTTCGGGGCAGAGTGTTTTCTCAGCCTCTGGATGTAACGGGAGCTGTGTTCTGAACGCAGAGAAGACAAACTGAAACTTTAGTATTGATCTCATCATGCAAGTATTAGTCAATACCAAACGAATGTTGGTATCCATACATCGACACTTTAGGTCAGTTCACCCACCACTCCCAAAAATCCAAGATGTCAACCAGGAGGTAGCCAAATCCTGTCTTCAGTTGCTCAGAAACCAGGGGATGACGTCCATCTTTGTCATCCAGTCTATGGGGAAGGAGGTGGAGGGACATGACTGGTCGAGTCAGTCTGATGAATCTGTGTACAGGTCAGCGTTTAACAACAATAAGTCACACCTTAGTTTTATTTGCAGTCATGCTCTGAGCATCGTTTGACTGAAAGACAAAATCATTATTACTAATTACAAGTATTTCTTACATGATTATTACATTTTATATAATTTCTCCCAAGTATCTGAAACGTTCAGCATTCTGCCAGTCTCACGCTGTTCCATGTTCTAATCCTGCTGGATCATTGTTCATGCTCTATGTTCCCACAAATAAAATAGAAAGTCATACACAGTACTGTGCACAATGCAGTACAACATAGTCCCATCAAGATGGATAACACTAGTACCTGCGCCATGGTGGCCATCGAGGTGAGGAAGGCCCAATCCAGCACTGCTTTGAAAAACCAGCACAAAAGAAGGCTGATTTCTTGATCCTGAAATTTCTGTCTCTAGATATTTCTGTTTTAGACTCATCTATTGGAACAGCTGGGTAACAAGGTGCTTTGACAGTCACACAGTGATGGCAGAGGAGCTGCACCGTATGTAAGCACATATGGCAGCTGTTCTAATCCAACTAAACCGTTCTGAACAGTTCATACTGTAGGTTTGATCCACATCAAAACCAAGACTCGACTATGTGACGTCATTCAGCTTCATCTCTCTTCTGGACATGATTCATGGCTTTATGTGGTGACATGTTTCCTTGCAGGGGACATAACGGGATGTAGTTTTGAGGGGAATCAGCCAGAGTGAGACGTCGTCAGGCTGCAGCCAACAAGAGACTTTTCCACGTCTTTGTTGCATGTGCTGAGCAATAGATAAAGAAAAGCAGGCGGAAAGACATGGATGGATGAATTACGACTTACATTTGTCAAACTTCATACTCTGTCCTTTCAGGAGACTCGGATGGGGAGCTGTTGGCCAAGTTTTGTGGGCAGACCACCCCCACAATTCCGATTGTGGTCTTTACCCCAGAGCTCTGGGTCAATTTCCAGAGTGATGCTTTCCTGGGAGACGTGGGCTTCAAGGCCAAGTACTTGTTTTCTGGTAAGACAGACGCTGACAGCTTCGTTACTCCCATGTGCCATACATTATATTTAAGTGTCAGACCATTTTTCTAATCTAGCAGTCATAATGTACCAACAATGTCCTGATGTGGATCCTTCTCTCTATGCAGAATGTGGAGGCTGGCAGACAGGCGAAGGAGGGGTTTTATCCAGTCCTAACTACCCCAACCTCTATCCCAGTCCCAGTCGCTGTGCTTGGCTGCTGGAGGCTCCAGTAGGCCACACAATCAGCGTGAGTCTGCAACGTGGCCCGTTGCATTACTGAATTTAGAGACTGAAGGGAAATTCTCATACACATACTGACTGAGGTGTTTTCATCATAATGTCTTGTTTTTGCCCAATCACACATTAAACAGTCTCATTTAGTTGTGGTACACTGAGAGACCTACTACTAATGCATACTGGTAGAAGAGCTCAACTCGACTGAATGCCCTCCACAGTAACGGACAATACAGAAGAACAGACACCAGGAACTTTGGCTGAATCAAATGTCTTGACTTCCTGGCAATTGCAAGCTTATACATTTTCTGGGTCTTTACCCTTATAGTCCTGTTCTGGTAAAATGTCGGATGTAACCCGTTTGAATGCATGACGGCACCATACCTAATTTAAGACATCTATTTATAAAATGTTGTTGTACGTACACACAAATGCCACGCTGGGACAGCAACTATTATTCCAACCACAAATGGTAGTTTCTGGGCGTAGAAGTTCACATTACAAGCAGAGGCTGAATATAGAAGATGGAAATCATTTCCTGTTCTGAAAATGAAGCCAGGTGCAGAACTGACCTGCGTTCCTACAATGACAAGCAGGAGGTGTCTTCTCTGTTTGTACAAGCAAGTCCAATTATATCGAAGTTTATGGGAAATGTACCCATCTTCTCTCAAGGATTTGATGCCTTTCTTGGTCACAAACACAGTTATACCTGGTATAACGCACAGTGAAATGTGTTGTGAACCTGTTCCACACCGAGACAATAACAACAAGATTGGACCACCCTCCTCAGGGCCAAGAAGTCCTGCTGGGTGCTGCTGCCCATCCAGGTGCTGATGCTCCCAGCCAGAACACTCTCATGGTGCAGGTGTAGAAGCTCCTGAGCACCTTGAGAGGGAGCTTGAAGTCCCTCAGGCGTCGGAGGAGGTAGAGACGCTGTGGAGCTTCTTCACCAGGGTGCTGATGTGACAGGACCACGTCAGGTCCTGGTGATGTTGACACCCAAGTACCTGAAGCTCTCCACTCGCTCCACCTCTGTTCCACTCTCCTGATATGTTTCCTCAGTAAACATTTACCAAATGGTCTAAATTGTTGTTTTTATGTTATTTAAAAAACAAACCATGATGGTTGTTCTGTCAATTACAGTCTCATTTGGAGTGAAGTAGACGCTGGAGCTAAGTCTGTTTTGGACCATGGCTGTCTTGTGGTTGACTAGTTGCTATTGTCTGGGGGTGCGTAGTGTCATTGTCCGAGCCGCCCGTCGCTCGACACACCCGAGCAAGGTCCAAGATGGCAGCAGTCAAATTCCAAGTTCAAGGCTTCATCACAGTAGTCCGTCTGGTTCCATCAGGGTGGCTACAAGACTGTATATACAGTTCATGAAAGCAAGTGTGGGTTGTCCATTACATTTCTCAAATCTGACAGACTGGAACTTCCCAGTGTTACCTTTGTTTACCGTCTGTAGTCACTGGTCAACGATACTAGTGAAACCACTGAGTTTATTTTTCATTGTTTGCTATTGTTGTTTGGTGTAGCTGCTGAGACAATCAGTACTGTCTGCGTATTCAGATACTGCTGAGGTCGTTCAACAGACCCACTGCTTAGTAGCCATGTACGTATATACCACAAATCCTTGGTCTCCACTCCTCTGTCTTTCTGCAGCTAACCTTCAGCTACTTTCATGTGGAGCCACACGACACATGTCGCTGGGACTCCGTCACCATCTTTAATGGAGGATCTCCTGGTTCCCCTATCATCGGCCAGTACTGTGGTACCACGTCCCCGGGAACCATCCAGTCAGGGTCCAACAAACTTGCTGTAGTTTTCCTGGCTGACCATAGTGGTTCCAGTGGAGGATTCACAGCCTCCTGGTCTACTGATTCTTCAGGTGGGTTTACACCAGCTATCCACCTGCTTATTTTTACAGAAGTACAAACAGTCAGGGGTACCTACACGCTTCAAAATCCTGCTGTTGGTGGTCCCATGTTCTATTAACACAGAGAATGTTATCATCACCTGACATGTCAGAGAAAGATATTCACTTGAGCCCAGTAAATTCTGTTTGATTTCATCAAGTTTTAGGAGCATTTTAAATGTCTAAGGCTTGTTTTGGAGTTTGGTGGATGATAGTCCATTCATGAACAGGCCTGGTACTGCCATATGCTTATTCATGATGCAGGACCATCAACAAGGGGGCGCAGGTCTCAGGATTCAGAGTGTGGTCACGTTTGTTGTTTTTTTTTTCTTTGTTTACTGCAAAAAACTCAACACATCCTCACTTTAAAGCATCTTGTCACCAGTAATATGACATGATTTGAGACTGATGCTGCACATACTTAGCAACCCTTAGCAACACAGTACACGCAACAGGTCAACATCAAGTCATGTGTACTTCAGCGTATATGACACTGGTGGGAAAAGACTGAGCCAGCTCCCACTGTCTCCAACATCCATGCCTGATTTTGCAGTGACTGTTCAATTCACCTGAGACAAAATAATGCAATAGTCCAATGCTGGTTACTGTATACTATTGGTTTGTGGATCCATTAAATTACTCAATTTAATATATATTAAATTACTTAATCATGAGAAAACTCTCTTCTGAAAATAGTCTAAACTCCAGCCTTCTTGCAAGGACATTTCAGCCCTAAGGAGGAAACAAACAACCCTTGAGTGTGCTTGTGTCACTGTTCTATTTTTTACTTTTATTTTTTGTGTGAGCATTTCATACATGGTCTCCATACATGTAACCTACCTTTGTTTTCCATCAGGCTGTGGAGGCGTGATCCATGCCGATACAGGAACAATCAAATCTCCAAACTATCCCCAGAACTTCCCAGCCAATGTGGAGTGTTCTTGGGACATCATTGCCCATGAGGGAAACCACTTGGAGATGAGCTTCAGTAGTGATTTCCAGATTCCAGATAGCACTGGGACCTGCCAGAGCAGCTATATCAAGGTAGCAGCACTACACTACAGCAGAGCCACCCACTAAGCCCCAAACCCAACCGAACCCTCTAACCCCCTAACCGTAACCCACTAACCCCCTAACTGTAACCCCGTAACCCAACCTAACCTTCTAGCCGCCTAACCCCCTAACCCTAACCCCCTAACCCAACTTAACCCCCTAACCCTAACCCCCTAACCCTAACCCAACCTAACCCCCTAACCCTAACCCCCTAACCCTAACACCCTAACCCAACCTAACCCCCTAACCCTAACCCCCTAACCCTAACCCTTGGTGTTGTTGCAGCAACTGCCTGTTTTGTGGTTACCTGTAGAGGGAGAAGGCAAAGGATGCATAATGTGAGCTTGTGTGTGAAGCTTGTGTAGTTCTACTCGGTTGGTAGTAATGAAGAATTGTTTGTGTTTATAAAACGATGAGAATCCATCATGGTGACAGCAGCAGTGATCATGTCGAAGGGGGTGAACGTTGACTCCCGACATGTAAACTATGGGTATAAGCCTCCCATTGACTGCTTTCTCTTCCCTTTCTGTGATCTACCTGGTACTGTTTTTAAATCCCAGTCACTCCATTCATACATTCAGCTCTTATTTGTGCTAATAAAACAATTAAAGCAGTTAAAACAGTCACCTGCAGAGGACAGTTACATTCAAGAGCAGGGTAGTTTGTTATGAGGGTTTTAAACTGACCAGAAGGTACAAGAACGTTAAATTTGAGTGTGTTTTGTATGATGTTCCAAGTGTATAGGGTTAAGGTTAGCACAAAAACTAAAAGCAGTTTTCCCAAATGTAGCATTTGCAACCAGGACTTTGAGCAATAGCTGGTCACAGGTCGAACTATGACTGGAGAAATAGTTTCATAATGAAGAGAGATATGGTGGCAGTTTGTCATCTAGGACTATGAATAAATAGAAACCAATGCCTGTCACGTCTTGCACACACGAAATGCCGTGATATGTAGGATGAACCACAGTACCGAGGCGGCACTTTTAAAGATTTTAAACGACATCAGGTGGAATTTGGATAACAGAAAACTCACAGTGTTGGTTCTACTGGATCTAAGCGCTGCTTTTGATACAGTAGACCATCACATTTTATTAAATAGACTCAAGCACCTGGTCGGCCTCTCTGGTGCTGTTTTTAACTGGTTCAGCTCCTACCTCACAGACCGATGCTTTTATGTAAGTATGGATACGTGTTCCTCAGGGACCCATAAAATTAGGTGTGGGGTTCCCCAAGATTCAATTTTAGGTCCCATTCTTTTTAATCTTTACATGCTTCCTCTTGGGGACGTCATCAGGAGACACGGCATCAGTTTCCATAGTTACGCTGATGACACACAGCTGTATGTTGCTGTGTCTTCTGATGACTCAGGGCCAATTGATACCCTTTTAAATGCATTTTAGACATCAAGTCATGGGTGGCAGCGAATTTCCTACAGCTCAACCAGGACAAAACAGAAGTTTTAGTTGTAGGTCCTGACGGCCAGAGAGAGAAACTTTTATTAAATCTACAAGGTTTTAAACCAGCACATTCTGTAAAAAACCTGGGCGTATTTTTTGACTCTGAGCTGAATTTTATCCCTCATATTAACAATATAATGAAAATAGGTTTTTATCATCTCAAGAACATAGCCAGAGTCCGCCCGTTTCTCTCTCAGGCCAGCAGGAGGTGCTAATGCATGCTTTTATTTCCTGCCGGTTAGATTATTGTAATGCCCTGCTCTCTGGTCTTCCCAAAAAGAGTATTTGAAATCTCCAATTGCTACAAAACTCAGCCGCTCGCGTGCTGACGAGGACCAGAGGGCGGGATCACATTACACCTGTTTTAAGGTCGCTGCATTGGCTCCCTGTCCGCTTCAGGATCCATTTTAAGGTTCTTTTATTGGTTTATAAGTGTCTTAAAGGCCTTGCACCCAGCTATTTATCTGACCTGCTTTTACTGTATCGACCCTCGCGGATCCTGAGGTCCTCCGGCAGCAGCCTTTTATCCAGACCAGTAGCCAGAACCAGAACCCACGATGAGGCAGTATTTAGCCACTACGGCCCCACCTGTGGACCAGCCTGCCGGAGAGCCTCAGGACTGCAGAGACTGTCGATACTTTTAAAAGAAGGTTAAAGACGCACATTTTTAATCAGGCTTTAAATTGAACTTTAATTCTTTTATATTCTTATCATTTATTTATATTTGTATTTTATCTTTATGTATTTACTCTTTTAACTTTTATTTTATCTTACATCGGGCCTTTTATTTTTAAAGTTTTTAGTTTTATTTCCAATGGTTCCTTAGGGGGGTCCTCCACACTGGCGCTGGGTCCGGTCTGCTGCTGGGGTTTCTGTCTGCGGGTCCCTTCGACCCGGCTGGTTGGGGGGCTCCCCACCTCGTTGTGGGGATCCCCCTGTCTGCCGGGTCGGGGGTCCGGGCGCCGGCGCCCCCAGTAGTCATGGTCTGCAACTCCTCCTGGTGTGGACGGCCCCAATGGTAGCGTTTCCCACAATCCCTCAGTGCCATGCCACGCCTCTTTTAGTCTCGTGGTGTGTGTGTGTGTGTGTGTGTGTGCACGCGCCTGCATTTGTTGTATGTCTATGTGTATGCATGGAGGGTGGGAGGGACGGGTTTACTTTATTTTTTAAATGTTGTAATGTTTTTAAATGTGGTAAAGCACTTTGCGTTGTTGTTGTTGCACATGAAAAGTGCTATATAAATAAAATTTGATTGATTGATTGAAGTAGCATGAATCTAAGGACAGGGTTTCAGATCGACGGCAGAGCAAGACAGACAAAACAACTTATAATTATCCATCTTCTTTCTGCGCATTGTAAAATTAGCTCTGTTTGTTCACAAATATACAATATTTTGTCGCAGCTTGCTGACACGTGTCAATGTGGAAACTAGCTCTAACTTTCTGATCCCATCAGATACCAAAATTTTTCCGCTCTGAGACCCTAACCCTAACCCTATCTATTGAGTGTGGTAATGTCCAAACTACTGTCCACAGCTGCTGTGCCTCTAGAGAAGGGTTAGGGTTACTGTGTACTTCCTGCAGTTCGTATGAGGCTTGTTGTGGGATTTCAGTGGCTCAGTGTGCAGTCTTCACAAAACAATACAGAACAATTTGTTATAGACAATGTAATAATGAATATTGTGTCTAATAATATAAACTGTGAACATGACAGAACCCAATACTGAACCTTGTGGAGCCCCTCTTTTCAATAAATAAATAAATAAACAAACAGGACAACGCCCTCACTCTCCTCAGTGAAAATCCTACCACCACCACCATCCCTGCAACCTTCCTACAAGACTCCTTTTAACTGGAAAACTCTCATACACCTGTTGACGCTGAATATTAATGCGAGTGGCCCTGACGCTGAGATGCAGCTTTGACAAAATGGCAGTATTTGGTGCCCTGGGAATGAGAATGGGTCGCAACAACGATAGCGAAACTATTGTTTCAGAAGTGTACAGTATCCAGTGCAGCTTTAAAACAATGTTCTGTTCAGGAACTGTTTCTGAATCAGTAAATGTTTCTGCAGGTGTGGTCAGGTCGGACCCAAAATACTGAGAATCTGCTGTCGACAGGCTGTGGCTCAGCAGCTCCAGGACCCGTCGTTGCTCCATATAACATCATCACAAGCCGATTCCAGGCCTCTGAAGCTCCTGGCAAAGGTTTCTCACTCTCCTTCAGCACGAGTAAGAACCAACTCAGTTTCATGGTGAAGTTATGATGTGACTGTGATAGTGCTTGAATCTATTCATTGGGAAAATGGCAATTTTATTCATTTTCAAGTAAAATTAGGGATCTGTTCCTGTCTGTAGCTTCTGGTCTCAGTTTTCACAAGACACAGTTTGAACATAGATGGGAGGCACATCATTGTTGGAGTGATGTGAATGTGAATTGGATGGACCCAACATCTCGTGTGTTCTGTTCATTAGGGTGTGGCACAAATTTCACCACTTCCAGCGGTCGTGTGGTTTCTCCAAACTATCCAGCCGACTACCCTAGTGACTCCAGATGCGACTACTTCATAGATGCTGGAGAACAGACTGTGGTTGTCCTCACCTTTCAGACCTTCCAAGTAGAAAGCAAGTGTCAACACTAACCATAACCCTAAAGGTTAAATCAAATAAAATAAATAAAAATAAACCACATGGAGCATCACCTGTAGAGGCCTGCGTGTCATTTCAGGATGGGCTTATTTCCATTTGAAACTTTTGGACATTGTGATAGAAGTAGATGTTTTAGAATTTCTGTTGTTTGATAACCAAAAGCCAATCATGTGTTCTGTTGCTGTTAATCTGTTGTGTAGCACACTCCACCTGTCTGTATGATGGTCTGAAGATCTACGACGTGGCTGCTAATGGAACTGCTATTGCCACGTTGTGTGGTAGCGACATCCCAGGACCCTTTGCCACCTTTGGCCCTATGTTGCTCCACTTCTACTCTGACTTTGTGTTCCACGACACTGGCTTCATGGCAGAATACAGAACCATTCGTAAGTAATTAAGAGGAAGAATGACTTCTATATCCAAGTATGAAAAATGTAGTTATAAACAACTGATTCATGAGGATGTAACCTAACGCTAATATAAACCTAAGGAACCAATCCTGTCAGCTTGCAGACTGGGGATTTCTTCATCACTATTCTTCCTCGCATGAGTTTACAGCATGTGTGCAGAGTTTCAGGTGAGGCGGTGATCTGTGGTGCAGAGCTACATCTCAGTCATTTGAAGGCAGAAAGAGATTTCTGTCATGAAAACCCATATGTACCTGGATGCACTGAAACTCGTTTAAGGACTCAATAAATGACTGTAAAGGGACAAAAACCTTTTTCAACATGATTAAGAATCAGGACAATTCATCAGTGATGAGTGCTGACTGGAAAATCAATAAACTCATTGTTTGAGTAGCAACTTTCAAAACAAGCTGAAAAGTGGAAAATTGGTTTTCATGGAATAAACTAATGAAATAAAACGGCAGCACTGAACAGAATGCTGCAAGAAAGGATCAGATATAATCGTAGGATAGTATGATCACTTTATAACAAGTGTGTGTGTGTGTGTGTGTGTGTGTGTGTGCAGCATGTGGTGGTCTTTTCAGCGGCACTGCAGGAACAGTGAGCAGTCCAGGACTCTCCATGTTCAACTATCACCACAACATCAACTGTTCCTACCACATCATGGTCCAAGCAGACACAGTGATCGATCTCAAGTAAGACTGCACTGGCTGCAATAACGGGACTGCAGAGAACTTGTATCTGTGACATGAAAGATCCCTTCGGTCCAAAAAAATGTTGCTTTTATGGATAAAGATAATTATTTAAGCAAACAGAGATTCTTATGACATACCTGGTGTTGTTGTGTCAACCGAACCAAGTCGTTCAATCTGAAAGCAGCCGTATTTTACATTCAAAGGAGACAAACCTGAGGCCACAAGATAAAGAAGAAAACATTTTCTTTCTGTGTGCAAAATAGTAAGAACAGACCCATTTTTAACACAGTCAATAGGTTTTGTTTTCCCATTGGACTTCACTTAAATGAAGACTGTCCTGAACGGGTTTCATCTTCCTAAACCTTCCCTTCCCAACCCTATTCCTGACCCTAATCCTAGCCCTAACCCTAATCCTGACCCTAATCCTGATCCTGTCCCTAATCCTGACCCTAACCCTAACCCTAACCTTCCCTTCCTAACCCTAACCCAAACCCAAACCAGTGGTTGCACTGAGGGCCACTAATCTGTCACTGTGTGACTGGGACTATGTTGGTGCAGCTGAAAAACCCCTTCAAAAACAAACTCTAATGTCGGAAACTAGTGTCTCCTGGTAGCCCTTTATGCCCTCCTTTTCTCGCTCCACAGGTTTAACACCTTTCATCTGGAGGCATCTTCTGCCTGTCGCTATGACTATGTGGCGGTCTATGATGGACAGGACACCTTGGCACCCTTGCTGGGGAAATTCTGTGGTGCAGTGCTCCCACCTGATCTGCGCTCCACCACCAACCAGCTGTTCATTGTCTTCAGGACAGATCACACACAAAATGGGATTGGCTGGAGAGCTACTTACCACCAAACCCTTGGTAGGTCAAAACCCAGCAACGCTGAACACTGTCAGGTATTCATCCACACACATCCATCCCGGTGGTGGTAGCTCCGGTTGGGGGGGCAGACTGACAGAGGCCTGGCTGCCATCCTGCCCTCCGACCACCACCTCAACAGTCCATCCATACGCATCCACACCAGGCAGGTGGTGAAGTGTCAACGTGAAGGACACATCGACCATGACACAGGTTACAGGAATCGAACCGCCGACCTTCTGATCATTGACCGACCCGCCCTACCACCTGAGCCACACGCCCTCCCTCACGTTTTGTACACTTTTTTGGCTTTCAAATTAGATTGTAAATATGTAAAAGAGTATTTTTTACCATGTGTCTTCATAAAATTAGTCATAATGACAAGGAAAGAAAATATCTCTGTTGGTACCAAATGGGCTGGTGTGAGTATTCACACACAGCAGTCTCAAGAGTTAGATTAGGATGATGTTAAATAAAAAAATAAATAAAAACCATCTACTGAGGATCAGGTCTGCGGATGTAGACTCTGTTGGAGATGGCCCGATTGGCTGGAGCAGACAGAAAGGAGACAGTACCTTAGACAAACACTCCTGATAACTGTCAACCTACCACCTTTCAATGCATTCCAGCATGTACCACAATAGTCACAAACATGACACGAATGTCCAGTGTGGTTCAGTGGCCTCCTCACTCACCTGGCCTGGATCCACTCTTGTACATGTGGTAGAATGGGAGATGGAGCATCAGCCAGGAACTACAAGGAATGTTTCCAACATCCTTCAAATCCATCCCAGGGTAAAATGCGGCTGTTCTGAAAGCACAGGGAGGCGCTACCCAGCACTAGAAGGATCATATTGAAGGACTTGGCGAGTGTGTTTTACCATAGACATACATTCAGCTACCAAAAGCACACCTTCTGCTCCTAGATATTCTACATGTTTGTGGCACTGCTGTTGCACAGTCGGAGTTTGAATCTCCCAGATGTTATTCATCTACTTGAAACAGTCTGGATTGTTGGGTCCTCTGTTCTTTGTTTAAAATGTGTAAGGTCTTTACCAAGTAGAGCGCTATGACATGACGTATGTCGTAAATTGATGCTATATACATATATATATATATATAATCAAATTGAACTGAGCTGAGCATTAGTCTGCACATTCCTACTGCATGGTATCAATACCAAGACTGAAGGAAGGGTTGTTTGCTTCTGAATGACCTGCAGGTCCAGCACAGGGATGTGGGGGCTTCCTGTCCATGCCCATGGGCATGTTTGGTTCTCCAGATCCTAACTTGGATGGCCGCTATGAGCCGAGTATGAATTGCCTGTGGACTATTCAGATGCCGGTCAACAAGGCAGTTAATCTGACCTTCAACTCCTTTGAGCTTGAGAGCTCCTCGACTTGCCGCTACGACTATGTCAAAGTAAAGTAACTGCACATTTTCTTTCACTGGAATATACTTTAACAGACAGCTATGCTCGAGCTACAGAATTATGGCCATAAGGGCAGCTGTTGGCATCTGATCCTGCTGCTGTGAATGCATGGCTGACTGATCACTCTGTACTACCTGAGACTAACTACACATCTGGATTTGCTGCTATATTGATGTACTTCTGCATTTCATGAAATCAAGTGGAACAATCAGAATCACTTATTCTGTTAATAGTAAAGATGACAAACATGGCCTTCTTTCTCTTCATGTCTCTATTGTATGCGTTTGTCTCGTCAGGTGTATGATGGGGACAGCGTTCACTTCCCTCTGGTCGGGACATTTTGTGGAAAGTCCATTCCTGCATATTTCATCTCAAGTGGAAACTTTCTGACTGTTCACTTTGTCTCTGATGCCATGGTACAGCTGCCAGGCTTCAACGCCACCTACAGAGCTATATCACGTAAGTGCTTTCTACTCTTTCTACTGAAACAAGGCTTCATTTTCATCTGAAAAGCTGCCAACACCTGGTAGACCACATGAAATCTGTGTTTAATCCCACAAGGACTGCAGCTGGCTCACTGGCCATAAAGGGTTCAGACAAAGGGCACCGACACAATCAAGCCAATGTCAAAGATATGGCTGTGAAGATATCCTAAACCCTCCCCTGATCTCTTCTGTTCGTGCACGTTGCTTACTGTCAGATCTTCAAACAATATTTAACTGAAAATAAGAGCAACCTTAATAAAAATACAAGTTTGAACTGATGATGTCTGAGTTCAGTTCAGAAGAGGCCTGATGCAAAGATTGGCCGAGACCGGCAACCAGCTGGTTTACAGTGACTGAAACCAGCCAAACAAGCAAAACACAAGAAGCAGACGGCTGTCCTCCAAAGCCGGGCTTTCTTTATGCAGGTCGGCTTCAGAAAAAGTAAAGCTCCAGTCAGAGATATGAGGCTATCAGCTGCTTCTGATAACTCAGGTTTTCTGTTCAAACGCTGACACTCATGCAGGAAATCACTTTAAGTTTTGGCCAAATCAAAGTGAAATTAAGATTCTTAATTGGATGTTCTCTCTAATCTCTGTTCTATCAGCTGCAGCAGCAGCAGAATAAACGGACCTGACAGCAGATCAGAGCCAAACATAAAAACACATTTATGTGATTTCTGCATCACCATCCAAATACACGTGTGGTTCCCATGGCAACGTGATGCACACAGTGTGTGATGCTGTAACTGCACGGCTTTAGTGACCTACAGCTCATAAACATCGTAGGTCGTCATCAGGAAACAGTTAAAGGGAGACACTTCTTACGACCACTTTAAATCCAAAGTCTGGATCAGCATCAGTTGCTGTGGTGATCTAGTCAGGTCAAAGAGAGCCACCTCCTGACAATGACAACTTGAACTTTGGGCTCCACGTACCTCCCTACCTGTCTTCGTGGTACAGCCCTCTGGCCAATGAGTGGAAAGCTGAAGGAATGTGTTCTGCTTTTTGCTTGAGCAGTCAGGGAGGTGCTCATTTTGTATTTGAAATGGAGCAACAAAAGGACAATAACTTCTAGTAACTTGTTTAACTGTACACTAAATGTTATAATTCATCCTACATCCACCCAACCGGTGGAGGCAGATGGCCGTCCCTCCCTGAGCCTGGTTCTGTCGGAGGTTTTTTCCCCTGCGGGGGTTTTCGGTTCCTTCCCACCAGCAGACTGCTGAAGCTTAAAGGGAATCCAGATGTTTGGATTGTTGGGTGTTTCTGTCTTTGTGAAGCGCTATGAGATGACTTGTTTTTGTAAATGTGTGCTATACAAATAAAATAAAATTGAATTGAATTGAATCGATTGGGGAACTCAGAGCAGGTGAGGTGGGTTTGGCAGGCATGGACTGGGCCTAGAGAGAGACACAAGGGACTTCTGGTGGCTCGAAAGACATCATGCTACATCTGGTGCAGTCCAGCTGCAACCAGTTCTGCTTGCAGTTCGACATGAGGACCACTTGGTGGACAACGTTTGGCTACAGAATGAATTATTGTAATTTAAATGTGAAGTGGGTTTGCAAACCTGGGTGCAGAACGCATGGGCAGAAGACTGGAAGCATGAAGACAGGATTATTAACACTGATAGGAGCTGAGTGCAGGTGAAGAGGGATGAAGCAGACCAGCACCCTGCACCACAGAGCAGGGTTTAGGTTAGTGAGATAACTTCAGGTTTAAACTGGGTTTCCAGAGTTACCATGGTGGCTCACTTCCACACCCAGGTTCAGGTCCAGAGTAGAGATCTAAATAGAAGAACACCTCCTAGTGACCACTCAGTTTTCTTGGAAAATGGCATCAACATTTTTAAGTGATCTCAGAGCTGGTGCACATGGTGACAGAGACCATCTCAACCTTGTTGTGTCCCTGCAAGCACAGACTGGACAGATCTAGATTCTCAGCAGGAACGCTTCAGTCTTACTTTATTTTCATTCTTGTTGGCTGCAGACTATTTCAGGCTTTTGCACAGTAACAGAATCATTACACAGAAACTGGAACACAAAGACCTTTTACTAGAAGATCTGCAGTAACCTTGTTACCAGGATGAATGATGTTTACTAGTGGGTGAATGAAAGTGCATCATGGAAACAAGGTCAAAGTTAAGAGAGTGTTTTTGACCATGTTTCTTACCAGAGTGCATTCGTTCAGCCAACACACAGGTAGTGTCGCGTGACATCATGTGACGCATGTCAGGTGACTCCCGAAACACAGTCCAGCAGTGGTATGACCAGACTGGAGGAAAGAGGGGCAGTCCACCTCCATACAACAAGCATAATCAGCACTGTTTGTGATACTTTAGGTACAGGTTTCTGTTTGTAGACTTTTTCTTGTAATTTATTACCTAAGTTTACTTTTTATTGGACCACGTTTTAGTGAAAACATATTGCATTTATACTCTGATGAGGATGCAGGTCATTCCAAAGGCGTTACTTTTTTGTCAGCATTGCACTGCTGTGTCCTGTAATTTTATGCATCTTCAAAACCTCTTCATGGTTCTGTCTTCCTGCAGATGCTTGCGGTGGGACTCTGAATGCCACGACCACAAACCAAACCCTGACCTCACCCTCCTTCCCCGGTGCCTATCCTGCTTTCACCTTCTGTCGCTGGATACTGGATGCTCCAGCCCAGGAAACCATCCAAGTGTCTGTCCAAGCCTTTGTCCTCCAGCCCAGCCAGAGCTGCTCCACAAATTACCTAGAGATGAAGGACTGGCCTATAGTGAGTTCAGACAGGGGCTGAACCAAAAGCTGCTCTATCACAGGCAACAGAAGTTGTACCAACGGGACACATAGGGGCTGCAGGTGGCTCTGTGGTTAGCACCACGTTAGCAACATGCTGAGGTTAATTGGTGATTGTAAATTGTCCGTAGGTGTGAATGTGAGTGTGCTTGGTTGTCTGTCTCTAAGTGTAGCCCTGTGATAGACTGGTTACCTGTCCAGGTGAACCTGCCTTCACCCTGAGTCAGCTGGGATAGACTCCAGCCCTCCATGACCCTAGTGAGGGTGAAGGTGTAGAGATGATGGTTAGGACACATAAGAAGTGGTTGTAATGGGCAGTTTTGTGATTTTCCTACTGAAATACTACATATTAGGGGTAAAGCATGTAGAAATACACAGAGCCCACATTCAGAAGTTATGCCTTAAAGTGAGCCGTCAGGACTTCCATCCATCATCTACACACCACTTAACCCTCACCAGGGTCATGGGGGGCTGGAGTCTATCCCAGCTGACTCAGGGTGAAGGCAGGTTCACCTGGACAGGTAACCAGTCTATCACAGGGCTACACTTAGAGACAGACAACCAAGCACACTCACATTCACACCTACGGACAATTTACAATCACCAATTAACCTCAGCATGTTTCTGGACTGTGGGAGGAAGCCGGAGAACCCGGAGAGAACCCACGCTGCACGGGGAGAACATGGAGACTCCACGCAGAAAGATTCCGGTGCCCCCACCGGGACGCGAACCGGCGACCTTCTAGCTGCGAGGCAACAGTGCTAACCACCTGCGCCACCTTGCAGCCCCCAGGACCTCCATAACGTTGCTCTACAGCTAGCAGCCCTTTAACTGTGTTGTTAACTCTAACGGAGAAATGTGTCAGCAATGAGCAAAGCGCAGTGCATGTGTTTCTGCTGGCAATGTTCCCACAACAACAGGCAGATCCTCAGCGTTAGCACGTTGCACAGCTGTTCACCACCAGGGGTCACTGTCACACAGCAGCCGATTCTATTCCAGGACGCTGCTCTGCCGCAAACATGTTCATGATGTAGGATTAGGTTTTTCAAATCTGTCTCGGTGTTTTTATGTAAAATGATCCCTCATAGAGAAAGTTAAGTAATTAATTCTATATAATTATTAAATTAAACTGTGTTTGAAGCAACAGACGGTGAAACAGCCTTTTTCAACCAACAGGCAGGGTAGAATGTAGGCTCACATCAACCATCGTAGATGCTCCTGGGCTTCCTGTTCAGAGTTCAGACTTGTTGTACATGAGACACTGCTGTTGCCTGAAGCTGTTGGCCTTGGAAGACTGCGTTTCCCAGAAACTGTGCTTGGACACAGGCGTGTATTTGAGTGACCATCAGACCGATGCCACCTTAAAAACGTAGCCTTGGTCAGGTTGTGTTGTGAACCAGTCTGAACACCAGAGTTGTTTGACCATGTCACATGTGAAAGCATCCTCAGCCACTGCAGAAGGAGATCAGATTCATGAATTCAAACCTCAGGGACAAACACACTCTCGTGATGTTCATTGTGACACCGTTCTTCTGTTTCCAGGGAGACTATGGGCAGTCACACAAGTTCTGTGCATCGGACAGCCATCCTCCAGATTTCTACAGTTATGGCAGGACGGTCCTCATACACTTCAGCTCTGATGACTTCATGACTGGAAATGGTCTCAGTTTCACCTATCAGATCGCTAGTAGGTACCTGTGGCGTACAGAAGAGCAGAAACACAACCAGAGTGTCCGAGTCAAGGGGGGCACTGTTATTTAGTGCTAGTTGTTGTTTTATGAACAGATCAACTTCAAATGATTGTGCACTACTTACCTGTCTGCAGCTTTACTGAAAAACAGTGGACACGACTGTATGGAAAGCTCAGCCACGAGTCTTTGGTCGCCAGTTGAGGATGTATATGCACAAGTAAACAGCTTTTCTGAGGGAGGAAATTACCTTCTCCTTGCATCACATGCTTGTGGAGAACCTGGTGCCAGATCACTTGCAGACGACCTAGTTCTGCGTCAGGGTGTCGTAAATAGCTGCGATCTATCGACAGTCGGTTGCAGCAGCAGTAGCTCAGAACCTTCACATGTGGAAGTGTCTGTGGACAAGATGCTGAACCTGAAGCTGCTCCTGATGGCAGGCAGCATATTGCATGGCAGCTCTGTCACCTCTGGTGTGTGATTGAGAAACACATTTAAAGCGCTTTGAGTAGCACTAAGGTATGAAAGTGCTCTAAGAGTGCAGACCATTTACCTTCTGATGAGGAAACATCTGGAAGTCAGTGGCCGGTGTAACTGACCTCACTGCTTCTGAGGTGAAGGTTATTTACCTCGATTATAAAACAGACCTTTTTCAGGTTTCCCTGTTTCTCTGGGCAGGTCACAGCATGCACTCTCACACTTTTCATTAGCTCCTTTTCCTGAGTAAATGACTGAATGATAAGCACGGCGAATACTGAAACGTAGTTCCTGATACGTGCTCTGACTTTGGTTTCCAGGTTGTAGCCGAACCTATGAACAGGAATATGGTTACCTGAAGAGTCCAGGCTGGCCTGGCACTTACCCCCACAGCATGGACTGCACCATCATCTTGAAGGCACCACAGAACAGCTACATCTCCTTCTTCTTTAACAGTTTTGATGTGGAGTACCACTCCGACTGTAATTCAGACTATTTGGAGGTAACAAAACCAGCACGCAGACCCACACTTCAGAAACAACCTTACTGTGCTTGCTTGTGCATGTTATTCATATAATTTTCACTGTGGACAAAGTTCCCGATGCTGAGCAGTTAAAACATCCCTTCCTTAGAAGTCAGAGGGTCGAGCCAGAAATAGGTCAGGTGTAGCATATGTTAGCTGCCTGTAAAGCTGGAATCACATATGTTTCACCTTTTCTCATGGAATGATTGTGCATTTAATGAGAAAACACACATTGGAGGAGATTCCGTGCATCAGAAGGTCCAGTATTACTCTTTAAATGTCCCTCAGTCACTAATACTGAGTCTGGCCCCCTGACATGGATCAGTGTTCAGACATGGTGGCGTTCTGTCCATCAGCTGATTGATGGAGTCAGTGGGCAGGACGTCCCACTCTGCAGTCACATCCTGAAGTCAGACCTGGTTCCAGCTGCTAACTGGGACTCAGGATGTGATCACTGGACCTGGTCACAGTGATGACTGATGTGTAGAAATAGAAATAGAAGAGAAATGTGTCTGAAAACAACAATTATTCCAACTTTATGGGCAACATTGCAGTACTACAAGAATGGCATCAGTGGTACTGTTGATACATTACATGTCCATAT